ATATATATATATATATGATAGTATACTGTATACTATAGTTATATCAAGGGGGTACATAAACCCAACAGAACTAGAGGGCCTCACCTGCGCCAGGGGTTGATGATGAAATCCCACCCGGTGTGTCAGGGTTGCTCCCAACCTTCCAGATACACGGAAGGAAGTTGGCTAAGTATCGAGGTCAAATGGCCAATTTCCTTCCACTGTGGTAGTCATTTACCTAGACAATCGGTCGATTTGCACCCCTGAAGAAGGTGTTTTACATAGTGTTTTTAATCAGTAGATTATATATTATACATACCCCCATTGTTATATTATACATACCCCCATATCCCTATAATCTACTTGTTTTACCAGGTTTTACCACACAAGGTGTGATGCTTTTACAACGGGATGATGTCTTTCGCTTTTTTGCACCGGCCATAGCTTCCATAGCGAACTGTCAGAGTAGCATGGGGGAAATACCTTTCTTGTTGCTTATACAGCTTTGTCACATCATCTATCATCACCTTTTTTTGTTGGATACTGATACACATTACATCTATCATCATCTATCGTCAGAAATATCCCCATTTCCATATCCCTCATCTCCCTCCTCCAATGGCCGCCATACCAAGCTTCTGGAGGTCTGAAGTTGCTGGATGTCTGCAACATCCCAAGGTCCTCAACATCGCCCACCTTGGATCGGCAGAAACGTCTCGGGGAGCTGCGACGCGAGGAGGGGAATCAATGGGGGCCCAATGATGGGGTTGTCATTGGGCGATTGGATTATCATTGGCTTGTGATTATCAGATTCGGCGATGTTTTTTACTAACTGGTGCTTAGCAGGGAACGAGGGAATGATCCATAATCACTAGTAATAATCTTTTTGGCTTCTGCTTGGGTTATAAGAGTTGGAGAACCAAGACCTACGTAGCTGTTGCAAGAACATGGCCGAGACTGGAAAAGAATATGCCGCGCTGGGACAACGATGAACTACCACAAAAGCAAGGAACCGACACATGAAAACTGCTGGTGCAGGATTCAAGTCAGGAAGACATCAAGACAAGATCACATAAGGCAACCTACTGTCAAGGGGGGTTCCATGGATTTTCCAGCCAGCAATTTTAGATTGCCATTTGGCACAATCTGTACTAAGACGAACCCTCATCTGAGATGTGGGGGTTGAGGTTGCTACAAATTATCCCGAACTCTATGATAACTATTCATAGTGACTGCGTGATGTCCCAAGCTATCCCAGTCAAAATGGCCCCTTACAAGCTATCCCAAGCTAAACACACACGGATCTCAAATAGCAACCATGGACCAATACCAGTTGCAGCTGGCCAGCTGGCCTACTTCACCCCATGGCACCGGCAATGGATTCCCACCGGTGTCATCAAACATGGCAATGGATTCATACACCATCTTATGGCCCATAGAAATACCCTCTGGTAATGACTAACATAGCTATTGAAAATGGTGATTTATAGTGGATTTTCCCATGAAAAATGGTGATTTTCCATAGCTATGTTAAATTACCAGAGGGTAGATGATTTTCCCAGCTTTCAGCCTCCAAAAAAAAGGGGGAAATTCCTGACACCGGAGGAAAACTGTCCTGAATAGCGGGGTGAATCGATACAGTATCCCTGCGTTTCAACTGGCAAACCGGGCCCGTTTCAACAGCCAAAATATGCCTGCCTGTCTACAAAACGGAGACGCCCTTGATTCGGCAAAAGAAATCGGATCAAAACCTCTGAGAATTCATAGGGTTTATGAACATTCAGCCATATCAGCTATGAAGGACAGGGCGGATCCATAGACGGCCGCCAAAAGAAAGCCCCAGTGTGAAAAGACACTGCCCATTCTCCATTCTCCATTTCAAAAATCCTATCAGATGGTTGATTAAACTAAATTCCATATAAAACAAATAAGAATCAGACTATCATCTACTATCATGGAATATCATGGAATATCACATAATAGCAGTTTTAATAGCATAGAATATCATATATATATGATATCATAAAATATCATAGTATTCAGACATGTAAAATAGAATGTCATTCATTTCATATTCCCATCAAAATCTCCCATCTCCTGCGCCGCGAGGCATTGAGACCGGACCATCGCATCATGGACATCACTTCTTGAGGTCGTTGCAGCAACTGTCGGAGCACGGGGCGCGTCATCTCCTGCCAAAGTGGGACCATGGGAGTCCTTGGAGTCACCTGGAGTCACCTGGAGTTTTTCGGAATTGATGGCACTTGAGCCATGAGAAATCGTCCGGAAATACCTATCCCATTGTACTGCTTGGTTTTCGGAGTTGTCCCTATGTGTAGTAGAGCCTCCTATAGGAATCAATCAAGAAATGTTTTCTGAATGGCTCACTTCATAGGGAAAATGGCGGTAATGTCCTTATTTCACATCACCCAACAAAAAAGGGGATCGTTCATCGCCAACTGATACGGCTTTTCAAGTGATGTGAAACAAATCCCCAAAATGGGACATTTATCAACCCCTGCTTTTGTAGGGAAAATGTCGAAGATTATGGTGAACCTCTGGATTTGGCAGCGTAGTTTCCGACAAAGACTGACTGATGAAGCCATATAGTGAAGTTAACATACCAAAAAGTTGAATCTTTCCCCTGCTTTGAAATTAGCGACCACCAAAGGATGGCTACATCTTTTTATCACTAGGATATACATACCCTCGGGTAATCAAACATGGCAATGGGAAATCCCCTATTTATAGATTATTTTACCATTAAACCCTCCATTTATAGGGGATTTCCCATTGCCACGTTTGATTAGCGGAGGATGATATGTATATATATATATAGAAACATATAAGTATATTTATATATATACATATATATATATATCAAGTTGGATGGATGAAAACTGAACCAAACATAACTGGGGGATAACAAGTGCTGCTGCTGAAGGAGGTGTGTCTACAGCGAATGTTGGCTGTGAATATTCCCATTGGTTGGTTGTATCCTTGTCGGAAAAATTGGGGATGCCAAGAGAAATGACAATTTCTGGATTGGTAAATATGAATATGATGATTTTATAATATCAGTGCATTTTAATATAAGTCCTAATTTCTAGGGTACACCGTCCGAGTAAAACATCCTTTTTCATCTCAAAATGCATAAATTCTGGCGAACTTGAATTTACAACAAAAATCACAAAATGCTGGCTATGTTCGCATTTAGCTTATTCCCTCATAGGAAGCTTTCCTATGGGGGATATATCCAATCATCCAGTGGTCATGGATGACCATAATCTAGTAGCCATGGCGACTTGGGTATCCCCCACGACTTCAGCAACCCCTACCCTCCAGTACTGGCCATGGTTGATGACACTGGAGGGTACATTAATGCATATATATATATACAAGGAATTATTGCAACTGGTCAAATATCATGGTAGAGCTACATTACAACATACATATATATAAATATAGATATATATATATATATACATAATGTAAATACGGAGATACATTACAACATGTGTATGTATATATATATATATTACCCTCTGGTAATTTAACATAGCTATTGAAAATGGTCATAGAAATAGTGTAACCATTCATAGTGAGTTTTCCCATTAAAAAAGGTGGATCTTTCCAGTTCGCTATGTAAACGTTTACCAGAGGGTATTATATAATACCACCCTGATGGTTTAAGTATATTAATGTACTATATAGATGTACTATATTATGTACTATATATATATATATATATATTAGTGAGTGTCCCATTAAAAAAGGTGATTTTCCATAGCTATGTTAGTTTACCAGAGGGTATATATAATAGATAGTTACCTCTCCTGGTGGACGCCGACGGCTAAAAAGAAGGGCTTCAGATCTTCATCGAAGCGTTGCTGCAGCGCCAGTGCTTGGAGCGACTCCACCTGCGCCAGCTAAACGGAGGGCGGGTCGTCAAATGGGCTGTGGAAAGATGGGCACCCTATGGCACCCTGGATATCCAATGGAAAATCACCTTTTTTCATGGGAAAACTCACTATTTCTATGACCATTTTCAATCGCTATGTTAGTTCACCAGAGGGTATCCATTAAAGTCCTGGTTTTAAAAAACCATGGAACATGGCTATTGAGTGATGTTAGTTTCTAGATGTTTTTCTCGTAATTCGCCGGACTTAAAATTTCGATGGTGCAAAAAAGTAAAAATGTGCAAAGGTACATGGATATAAAGCTTACGGCGTAAAGCTTAGACGAGACTTAAAAATTCTAAGGATTTGTTGAGTCCATCAATCTTCACAAGGCCGCCAGTGATGTTTATACAGATTTATACACCCTAAGTATTGATATACCCTCTGGTAAACTAACATAGCTATTGAAAATTGTCATTTATACTGAGTTTTCCCATTAAACATGGTGATTTTCCATAGCTATGTTAGTTTACCAGAGGGTATCTACTAGAATTAGAAACCCAACAGTCATTGGAGTTATCAAAATGCCAACTCACCGACATCAAAATCCCATGGAAATCCCACTAAATCTCATGAAATCCCACTATGTAAAAGCCATTAAATGCCATATACATCCAATTAAATCCCATATAAATCCCATTAAATCCCATTAAACATCACCTTTTCGGCATCCCATTTTCATCCCCACATGGCTCCGCCTTTTGAAGATCGGGTTCCAGTTGCCAGAACGCCTCTTCTGCCCGAAGACGCTTAGGCATCGGATAGCCCGGTAGCCTGCACCGGGAACCCAGATGTTTTGTGGGGGAAGCCTGGGAGAAAATTTGGATCTTTTTTTGGGTTGCAAGAGATATGGGATGTGAATGGAATATGTGTATTAATGTTTTTATTATAATTATATATATATATTATGTATATATATATACATATATATATGTGTGTAATACAGGGTTTTGTTGGACGATTTCGCCAACAAAAATGCGGTGTTTTTTTCGCAAAAATTTGCCGTTTTTGAAATGGTGGTACTCCCCAAGACTAGACCAGCTGACCTTGTGGCGCTTCAGTTTGCTGCTAGAAATCCCAAAAAGCAGCTGGGGCTTTGTCACTGATTGTACCCTCTGGTAATGACTAACGTAGCTATTGAAAATGGCCCATTTATAGTGGATTTTCCCAGCTATAAAATGGTGATTTTCAATAGCTATGTTAAATTACCAGAGGGTAATGCAAAAAGGCCAGAAATTGGGACACTGTCAATCGACTCATACGTGTTCCACCCAACTCAAACATTGCATGTAAGGATCGAAGGTGGCTGCAACACGATCAAACCATCGCTTGTGTTGGAGACAAGATGTGCAGATTCAGCCTGTTTGGCTGCTTTTTGCTTATCAAACTTATTGAAGCTCAGCGACATCAAGAGTGTGTTTTAACGAAGACTAGGATGGGAGTGGAACCTGGAAGTCTCTTTAATACTCATAATGCTTGCAAATTCATAGTAGTTAATCTTAACAATAAAAAAGTGCAAGTGGTTATCATAATCTATTCATGATTGACAATAGAGTTAATGACTAATGATAAAGATTTTTACTACAAAACGCAACAGTCAAACAATGATCATAATAATCTAGCTAAGAACGAGAAGAGAGTCATATCTACAACAATAATGATCAGATTTTACAATAGTGCGTGATAACAATACAATCCATCATTACCGATCAGAATGGATCATGAAGTATCATGTGAATCACATGAATGCTATAATCAATGCCATAATCATCAATCTGGCCGTATAGCATTAATCATAGTTCATTAATTAAGGTTAATATGGCATAATGATTGAATATAGCATATTAATATAGCATTAATATAGCATTAATCATAGTTCATTGAATAATTAATATAGCATAGTTCACCAACCTGAAATGAACATAGCTCAAACTTGGAGAAACCATCATTCCAGTGACGTCATGACGGTCATGATCAGTTTTTCATCCAGATTAAGGTCATGATTTTAGTCATTATGACAGCCATCCTGCAAATATCTTTATACTCCTTTGAAAAAGAAAATGGATGACCAATCAAATAATCATCATCAATCATCATTTATAATCAATAATGATCATATATATATATATTGATGATTAATCATCAATAATCTTTAGAATCATCCACAAATCATGGCGATCCTAACGATTGGATCCCCCCCCTTTTCACCTCAGCAACAGCAGCCGTTCGGTGCCGAAGCTCCGCCGGAAGAGGGTGACCTGCTGGACGGACGTCATTTTGACCATGGGTTTTTTTTTCCCCAGGGGGGTACCCTCCAAATAGTAAATGGTACATAAATGCTACATAAATGCTACATAAATGCTACATAAATGGTACATAAATGGTTCATAAAGCTGTTTGGTACCCTCTCAATTAAACAAAAATGGTACCCTCTCAATTAAACAGCCGTTTGGGTTTATTAATCCAGGGTTGACATTACAAACTTCAGATCCATAAAGCCTCTAATATCTCTAAAGACCTAAAAGCCTCTAATTATTAGACCTTAAAGGTTTTTCCCCACCTGCCAGGTGAGGGTTGTTAGATTTTATCAGAGCTGTTCTCCGCGACTTCCAGGTTGCAGTGGGCACTGCCGGACCTCAACCGCGAGCTCCAGATCCCAGTGGGCACTGCCGGACCTCAACCGCGAGCTCCAGATCCCAGTGGGCACTGCCGGACCTCAACCGCGAGCTCCAGATCCCAGTGTGCACTGCCGGACCTCAACGGCCAGATAGAATGCCAGAAGATATGCCAGATAGAATGCCAGAAGATATGCCAGATAGAATGCCAGAAGATATGCCAGATAGAATGCCAGATAGATGCCAGAAGATATGCCAGAACATATGCCAGAAGATATGCCAGATAGAATGCCAGAAGATATGTCAGATAGAATGCCAAAAGATTTGCCAGTAAGAAAATGTATAAATGCCATGGTGGGGATCATTCGAAGTGAAGTAATTGGTGTGAAAAAAACATGCTCTTTTCTGGTTGATGAAAACAACCCATAAGAATACTATAGTTATATTTCCTTCAGCCAAGAGCTATTGGAGATATGTGAAAACCAACCTGGCGTTCTCGTGTCGGATTATTGGGTCCCACCTTGTCTTATTGGGACATGGGAAAAACAAAAGACCAACTACCTGGGAAAGTCATGGGAATCTGATTGGGATATATGGGAATATATATATATATGGCAGTGTGTCAAAACCTTGTACCCCTGGTGAACCCCAAAATAGCTGGGATTTATGGATGTTCATCCCACTAAAAATGGTATTAATAGGTATTGATCCATACCCATATATATAATATGGGAATTACCTAAGTGGCAATCAAAAGTGGCTGGGAAATCCCGAACTTCCTTCGGAGGGCTTAGTTCGGAAAATCATCGAACATCATGGTGAATCGGCTCGCCATGTTTGATGACGCAGGTACCTGATGGAGATCCGAGAGGAAGTTACCCGACCTGGTTATGACTAACAGTTTGCCATGGAAAGATCCACCCATTTTTAAGTTCGGTAAACCATCGAACTTTCATTCTATTTCGATTAGGGCCATCTATACCATGGCGAACTGTTTGTCATAACCAGAGGGCATATGATTTTCTATGGGAATTCACTATCAAGATGGAAGACAAATAAACAAAACCACCAACAGCTTCTTCATATTTTAGAAAGCACGGGGATATTCGGATAGTGATATTTCACCAACAATGGATGTGGGGACTGACCAGCCAAAATCGAGATTTAACAGTCGAACACCAACAGTCGAATGGGATTGCGAAATGGATATGAGACTTTCCGTCGCCATTCCGTGGTGATTCAACCAGGAAGTGGTGGAAATGTGATGTAGCCAACAAATGCCAACAATGTATTGAGATAGTGTGGGGTATCAGAAAAAATAGGGATTTGACCAGAAAAAGATCCAAGATAAGATTTGGAAATTGTTTGCCCAACGGAGGATACCACAAAAAAGGCAGTTGTCATGAGAAAGTGATGACCTCATTTACAGACAAACCTATGTGTTCCACGCACCGTATATTTGCCAATTGTTAAGCCTACCCGAAGACTGACCCAAATCCAAACCTGCCATAGCCTACCATCCACAGCACATTTCGGGAAGGATCTGGCTCAAAAACATTAGGGATATCATTGGTACCATTGGCCGAAATAAGACAGATTGCGGAAGATGTCATGAAAATCTTGTTGTGCTGAGTGGATTGCGAATGTATGTACATGTCATATGTGAGGTGTGGTACCCTCTGGTAAACTAACATAGCTATGGAAAACCACCATGTTTAATAGGTAAACCATCTATAAATGGGCCATTTTCCATAGCTATGTTAGTTTACCAGAGGGCAAACCCAACAAAAACCATCCGGTGTCTTGGTGTTTCCTGGGCCCATGGGCCGTTGGGATCCGATCCCCGTGATTTTTCGGGCCTCACTGGGCTGGTCTTTCAGATGGAGAGACATGAGGCGATAGATCCTTCGGCAACACCGAAAACCCGATTCCCAGGAAGAAAACATTCAACGAATGCCCCAAAAATAAGCTTAAGATTCGATTTTGCCTAGTTTCAACAAGATCTTCTCAGATGGTCATAAAAAAAATATAGATATATATCCAAACAGGTGAGTCTAATAAAATGATGGTGTAAAAAAAAATGATCATCGTTTTCCCTGCAGGATTGTGCCCCCAAACATTATGTTGGTTAGTTTAGATTCTAACCCCATGAAAACTAGTTCGTGAAATATCTACCAGAAACCATACTTAATTCAGCCACAACCGTATCTCAACGGAACGCTATCGCTCGACTGGGGGCCCCATCCTGTATGGCTAAATATTACATAAATTACCCTCTGGTAAACTAACATAACTATAGAAAATCACCATTTTGAATAGGAAAATCAACTATAAATTGGGTATTTTCAATAGCTATGTTAGTCATTACCATTTTTTTGGTGGATTTTGGTGGCCAAGCGGCTCTGATACCATCTCCACCATGCCGTCCAAGCCGTCACACATGGGCACGGCCGACTCGCCCTCGTTCACCTCGCAGTGAGTTTATGGCCCGATTCATACCCTGGATTCATGGTGATTTAGATGAAAATATACATAAAAATATCATTCATGGGACAATACCCATCTATACATTGGGGAAATCATGGTAAATCTATACATTTAAATGGTAAATGATTTAGATTTAGTCAATGGGGTTCTTTCACTGACTTACAATTTGCTGGTTGTAAAAGGGCCCATGACTGTGGGGACTATTTTCGAACGGAAATCATTGGCTATTTTTATGTATGTATATGATTGTGTTTGAATGATTTATGAAAATTTAGTCGGTTACAGTAAATGATAAAAGCTTCCCCCGTTCATATTGAACATCCCCAAACCAAACCAAGGTGATTGTCGGGGATGAAGTCCCATATTTATATGTGTATTGTATAGCCATTGTTTCATAGTTGACTATAGAATAACTATATACAAGTTGATTGTTCTATGTGATAATTTGTGATTACTGATGATGAATATACAAACACTTATCTATAGCTGATAAAATTGGTGATTTTTTTCTTACCCATCTTACAAAAAACTAGGGCCCCCAGTGAAATGTCGAAGTTGCCACCCGATGATGATTGAACGGGATCTAGGCTCCAGATCGATGAACAAATCCACTGGATTTCATGAATACATCATGAAAGGTGGAAAATTGAGAGATA